GAACCAAGTTCCCTCCCTACATTTTAATCCATTTCACTTAAATGTACATCACAATATGGAAGAAAATATCTGTCGTTACTTTTGTTACATAGTCATTTTAAGATGAGTAACCTTCCATATGTACAGTATTAGGTTTTACAGTGCTGTGGTTTAACTCAAAGATGGAGTCCAAAGACAAAAACAAAATGTATCTGATTTAATGTTTCTGATGTAATAATTTATTTTCAAAAATTATTTTTCACTAATTACAAACATCAATCTGAGCTAAGTAACACACATTTGACAGTTAATAAACAACAAGAAATATAGAAAAATAAATATATAAATTTACAGATTATCTAATGGTAACTCTGCTTTTTCGTTGAGGTCTTAGTTTTTTATTATATGTGGTTATATAATTTCATTAGTGATGAAAAAAATGCTCTACTTCAACCATTATAAGTCAGTGTTAAGATATATTGATTCATTCATAGGCTACTCAGACTATATATTTGACAATTTATTATTATTATTATTAATATTATTATAATTCAGAAATTTGTTTAATACATTAAGTACAATACTAGTGAATCAAAAAAGAACGTGAGGCCAAGAATGCAGAATTGAGTGAATTACACATTACAAGGTGGCCTTTTTTATCTTCGTGTATATTAAAGTGGGCTGAGGTGGACTCATAATGCTACTCTGCAGGGGGAGTTGCTGTTTGGCTTTGTGTATGTCTGCGAATCAATTTCATAATGTAACCCAATATAAGGTACAAAGACTGCATAATGCATTTGTATACAGTCCAAGGGATGTAGTGATTGGCCTTCATTGCCAAGTTAAGAAACAGAGTCTGCCAAAGTGTGCAATACTTAGACACAGTGGCACCAAAGTATATCTGTGCAGTATTCTCAGGGACGTGTGCCAGAGCATTGTGTGGTTATGAGCATTCAGCCAAGCTGTCAATACTGCTTGACCTGCTTATAGTGGCAGTGTAAAGTGTCCAGGCATGGAGTCCCGTTTTTGCAGTTTTTGCATTTTGCAATACTTTGATCATAATTATGTCTCTCATATAGTTTTGACTTTATATTGTAATTATGACTTAATATATTATAAATTTAAAGCTCTAGGCAGACGTAAAAAAAATATTTTTATTTTTAATTTTTTTGCACTTTGCGTTCATGTGTAAATGTCATAATACTTTGATAATAATTATGTCTCTCATAGTTTTGACTTTATCTTGTAATTATGACTTCATATATTATCAATTTAAAGCTCTAGGCAGATGTTAAAAAAAAAAAGCAAAAGCAAAAGAAAATGCTCTTGGTTATGACTCACTAAAACATTTTGTCACTTAAAAATGTATTGATTACTCTGCTACACTAAAATTCATCTAGTTTAGTTTACTTTATACATTTTGAGGCCATTTATAATGATTTAATTAGACTAAGTGAATTGTAACCCTTGACATTTTTTGCTAGTATTCACCAGATAATAATAAATGCAACAAATGTATCTGTTACAATCTATTTTTGGTTGATAACTTCAACTGCTTGATGTATCAGCAGTCTCTAATCTCAGCCAACTATAGATGCAGAGGCAAAAATAAAGAATGACCGTCAAGCACCACAGATGTTATTCAGAGTTCACATGAAGAGGCGTTTTTCGTGTTCATGATGTGGTATAATTACCATCATGACATGAGAAGAGAAACAGAGAAGACAGAGAAACTTTAAGAGAAGGAGAATGAAACTAGATTGATTTCGTCTGAACCACTTTTTTTGGTGTTTACCTGCTCCTTTAATGGGTCCCAGTCATGCTTAGCCATTTTCCCTGGTATCATCACCTCTTCCAGTTGAGCAGGTGGTGTGTTAATTAGCTCTCATCACCTTACTGAAGCCTGACGGAGGAGGAGAGGGAGTAGATCGTTGAGTCTATGGGAGATACAGCTGCTGCTGCTATTAGATCAGTTTATTACACAACCAAGGATTGTACAAGCATCAGAAATAATTCACGTCCACAAATGGCAGCTTAATGAACAGTTCCACGAGAGAGTGACCCACAAGATGCCCGCGAAAATGTATGTAACTCTTTTTCATACAACACCAGGTAGTGACCATTTTGAAAGCATGTGTCTTAAATTGTCAACATTTGTGTTGTGTTAGAAAATTAGGTGCTGTATGTATTTTGTATTCAATAAAATAAATATTTTAAATAAATAAATATCTGGATTCCAGTCAGTTCTGGAAAAATTACGAAGTGCTCAGATTGTGTTATTTATTTTGGAGAAACCAAAATAAAAACTGTTCAAAAGTTTAGGGTCATTAAGATTTGTTTTTTTATGTTTTTGAAAGACGTCTCTTATACTCACCAAAGCTAAATTTATTTGATCAAAAAAGAACATTGTGAAATATTATTACAATTTAAAATAACGGTTTTCTATTTGAATATATTGATTTATTCCTGTGATGGCAAAGCTGAATTTTCAGCAGGTATTCCTCCAGTCACACAATCTTTCAGAAATCATTCTAATATGCTGATTTGGTGCTCAAGAAACATTTCTAATTATCAATGTTGACATGTTTTTTCAGGATTCTTTGAATAATAGTTCAAAAGAACAGCATTTATTTGAAATGGAAATTTCAAACGCCTTTACTGTAATTTTTTAACCATTTAAAGGCACAATATGTAAGATTTTTTTATTAAAATATCCAAAAACCACTAAAACAGTGTTATATATTTTGCTGACTTGTGTACTTACACTATCCCAAATGTTTCAAAGAATGTTTAAATCCAGAGAAATAATCAATATTAACTAGTGACACGGACCGTGTCTATAGTGTCATTGTGTCGCCTGCTAATGACGTCATAACCCCTCGATTTCCAGTTTTGTTTTGTAGAAAACATGGAAACACCAAAGACGCTTTAATATGTTGTGC